GAGGTTTACCTAGGATGAACATTACAGACCTCTCTCATCTTTTTAAGTGGGAGAACTTGCACAATTGGTGGCTGACTAAATACTTTTTTGCCCCACTGTATATATATATTTGTATATATTTATATAAATATATACAATTTCAGAATCAAACAGAGCACTCTCATAATAACGTAACACTATCAGAGACTGGATATATCTATCTATATATATATATATATATATATATATATTTTTAGCACAATTATATATTATATTAATGGTTTTATGTTCTGTAATTGTGACCTTCAAAATAAACCAAACTGAAGCAAAACTTATAAAATCCTTTCACTTTATTTCTGTGTCTCCCCTCGTGCAGACACCAGACAGATTTAAAACTTTAATAACATTTCATAGTTAAGAACATTCTCATTGAGCAGCATTCAGTGATCACGTCAATGATTTTTAAAAACAACAATAAATTAACATTAATTGCACTTTTCATTGCAGACGGACCTAAAAACACAGAAACTGTCTGTAGAGTGTTTCCTGCAGACATGATGTCTCTGCTCACATGTGGGTCCGCTGTAACGTGGACTCACATGTGAGCAGAGACATGTCTCCCTACATGTGAGGAGACATGTCTCTGCTCACATTTGGGTCCGCTGTAACGTGGACTCTGACAGCCGGTTGGGAAACAAAGAGCCGATAAACTGTTGAGAAATCTGCAAATATTCAGAATCAGTTCACGGCTTAAAGCTGTTTCCAAAGGCAACACATATCAAATATATCCAGACACGAGCTGCAAATAAATATATCAATTAAATTAATCTGCAGATTAGATTCTAGATTATTGATTTGTTGCATAAAACAAAGAAAGATGAGCATCTCAGCATGGGTTTAAATGTGGGTTTTTGTCAAAGACATTCACAGAGAACAGCAGCAGTTCACTATTTAACAGGATAGCATTTTGCATGAAAAGTTTTATACAAAACAAGATTCCTGCAACATTTCTAGATAAAAACCAAGTTATTCTTCATGCAGAAGTGGCAGAGATGCAGTTTTAACCTCTTAAATGCTGCCTTTCTCTGTTAATGAGAGAAAATTGACATAAAATTGACATTTAATACTGAAAACACGAAGCGAGAAGACGCCGTTTGGTTGCAGATATTTCTCAGTGAGGATTGGTCGGTAAAGTCATGTGACCTCCACTTCCCGTCAGTAGTCATGTGAACTCCACTTCCCGTCAGTAGTCAGGTGACCTCCACTTCCCGTCAGTAGTCAGGTGACCTCCACTTCCCGTCAGTAGTCAGTTGACCTTCACTTCCCGTCAGTATTCAGGTGACCTCCACTTCCCGTCAGTAGTACGGCCCTGTGTTCTCGTACCTGGCGTAGCTCGGCCAATCAGGAAGGATCCCATGAGAGCAGGAGGGGCTGCCGTACCGGTCGAAGTGAACCCCGAAACCAGAGGCGTTATCGGGGCATCGGGTCTTCTTTGAGGCCAGCACGATGTGGTAGTTCTGGCCCTGGTTGCTGTCCCAGAACTCCTGCCCGCCCCCCGTCTGAAAACACACCGCAAACTCCCCTGTCTGGAGGCGGGGGGGCAGCAGGAAGGAAAAGGAGAAGGAGTCGCTGCCGGAACTCGGGTACGAGTCCCTCTCAAAGTCACAGTCCAGGTCTCGGTGAGACCGCCAGCCGTCCATCGAGAGGCGGAGCTTCACGGCTTTCTGGAAGCAAACGTTCCTGACGCGCACCGAGCCACTCAGAACCCCCCCGTCCAGAACACAGTGGTACAAACACACCTGGTCCGAGTCCAGCCGGCGCCGGAAACTAAGGTAGTCCAAGGCCGGCGGGTCGAAGTCCAGAACCAGAGAGTCCTGAGGAGATGAACTGAAACTCTGACGGACCCTAAGAGAGTTCTTAAGGTCCTGAGAGTCCAGAACCAGAGAGTCCTGAGAGTCCAGAGAGTCCTGAAGGTCCAGAACCAGAGAGTCCTGAAGGTCCTTAAGAGAGGAACTGAGCCTCTTCCGGACCCTCCGAGGGATCCGGACGTCGCTGAGCGGACAGAAAACCTTGACCCGAGTCAGAGCGAGACCCCGATGATCTGCAAACGTCACCTGCTTCTTCTTCTTCCCGGACTCCTTCCTGCAGGATGGTTCCTCCGGAGACGCTTCCCGAGGCTCAGAAGACGAGATGTAGAGGAAGTCTTCTTCTGAGGAGGAGGAGGAGGAGGGGGACAGGAAGAGAGGCATGATGTCCACCGGCATGATGGGGGGGGGGGACTGAGGGAGAGAGGACAGGGTTACTATTCTATATAGACTTTTTAAATGCAAAACACGGGACAATAAAACCAGACTTAAAGCCAGACTGAACTCAAATGAACCTGGTCCCTCCAACATGACCTCAGTCTGGATCAAACTACAGTTACAGCTCTTTACTTTCTACCTTTGGACTGGTTTATAGAAACGGACGGGTTGCCAGGTCAGATGACATGTTTAATGGTCCATATGAAACCCTTATAAACCTTAAAAGGGCTGAATATTAAGGAACTAGAATTGGGTAAATTGTAATGTATTTTAGTTTCTGCTGTACTCAAGGTTTGATTATAAATGTAAAATAATCTGTAGAATAAATGTTTAGCAAAAACTTAGCTTCCAAAATGTAGAAGTATAAAGTAGTACAGAAGGGAAATACTCGGGTAGTACCTCCAATTTATACTTAGGTAAATGTACTTAATAACTTTACAGCACTGCATATATTCAACATTAAACACGACATTAATAATTTTAAAAAAAACTTTAAATGTTCCCAGAAAATCTTCCCAGAGTTCCCACCTTACAGAACCTGCCCAGCAGCGGACCGGAAGGGGTTTCACCTGCAGCCGCTCTTGAGGATCATGACGCGGCGTTCCCTCTGATCTGTCGCTCGCGAGGAGTGTTTCTTTTTTTGAGTCTCGAGCTATGCTCGAGGCCACAGAGAGGGACACACCGGCTTCACGTGAACACCTGCAAGCAGCCAATCCGAGGCCGAGCTGCCGGAGTGATCGACGCGTCAGAGGGGCGTGACGCGAGTAGTATGGAGGCTCATTGGTGTCAAAATTAGATGTAACGGGATTTCTAATTGACAAATATTACGCAAATTTCCACTCGTTATTATACATCAACATGTTGACTGAATTACAACTTATTTTTATATTATTTATTTTTGCTTTATAACAAAAGGGATATCAATCAAAAGTGAAATGTAAAAGTACTGTAGTTAGCTTAGAGGCTATTTTCTCATTAGCATTGAAGAATGTTCATGAAGAATATTACTATAGAAAATCAAAATAAGCACAAATGTATTTATTACAAGCTTTATTTCCAAGCCATGTTTATTCATTTCAAAAGCACATATACACTTTGTTAGCGTGTGTATTAACATGTTTTAACTGAGATGCCCTCAGGGTCACACATTCATTCACGTCCCGACAGAGATTTAAAACTCATCCTGATGAACGTTATCGTACGACACGGAGAGTTAAATGACGTGAATTTAGTTCTGCGAATATTTGCTCAGGGTTACACACCGTGTGTCCCTGAACAACGCACCGTGTGTACCTGAACAATGCACCGTGTGTCCATGAACGCATCGTGTGTCCATGAACAACAATGCACCGTGTGTCCCTGAACAACAATGCACCGTGTGTCCCTGAACAACAATGCACCGTGTGTCCATGAACGCACCGTGTGTCCATGAACAACAACGCACCGTGTGTCCCTGAACAACGCACTGTGTCCCTGAACAACAATGCACCGTGTGTCCCTGAACAACAAGCACTGTGTGCCCTGAACAACAATGCACCGTGTGTCCCTGAACAACAATGCACCGTGTGTCCCTGAACAACAATGCACCGTGTGTCCCTGAACAACAACGCACCGTGTGTCCCTGAACAACAACGCACCGTGTGTCCCTGAACAACGCACTGTGTGTCCCTGAACAACAATGCACCGTGTGTCCCTGAACAACAATGCACCGTGTGTCCCTGAACAACGCACCGTGTGTGTCCCTGAACAACAATGCACTGTGTGTCCCTGAACAACAACACA